ACTTGAAGGTCTATAAAGCAGCAACCTTAATTAGCCTATTTTGCCTATAAAATAAGGTATTATTATTTTTTTTTGGCAACAATAAAACATGTCCAGTGTTAAGACTAGTACGTGGACAATGTAATGGCTCAAAACATGCTAATTATTATCATTATAGGGAAGAAAAGCTGCCACATAAATATTTATCCTTCCTGTAAATTTGTTTTTTTATTTCTTATTTTTTTAAAGGGAGGCAAATTTTGTGTGTGTATATAAGTTTTCAGCAGCTTTACCCAAAGAGTATATACCAAGGAGCATAATGGCTGGATTATATGGCGAGAATATATTTAGTTTTGTAAGAAACCATCAAACTGTTTTCCAAAGTGGCCTTAACATTTTGAGTTCCCACCAGCAATGTTTGAGAGTTCCTGTTGCTCCACATCCTCGCCAGCATTTGGTGCTGTCTGTGTTTTGGCGATTGTAATAGTGGCACATCACTGTTTTAATTGGCATTTCTCTGATAACATATGATGTGGAGCAACTTTTCATGTGATTATTCATTCACCATCTGTATTTCTTCCTTGGTGAAATGTCGGGTACCTTCTTTGGCCCACTTTTGGGTTGTTTTCTTACTGTTGAGTTTTAAGAATTCTTTGCTTTGGGTGTCAGTCCTTTATCAGACGTGTCCTTGGCAAACATGTTCTGTGAGCCTTCTCATTCTCCTGACATTGTCTTGTCACTTCAGCAGCCCCGAGCTCCATCCTATGACACGACCTGCCAATACGACTGTGGCTTTCTCCTTGAGTTCTTGTTGTCCTATATCAGCGGTTCTCAACCTGTGGGTCGCGACCCCTTTGGCAGTCGAACGACCCTTTCACAGGGGTCGCCTAAGACCATCCTGCATATCAGATATTTACATTACGATTCATAACAGTAGCAACATTACAGTTATGAAGTAGCAACAAAAATAATTTTATGGTTGGGTCACAACATGAGGAACTGTGTTTAAAGGGCCAGAAGGTTGAGAACCACTGTCCTATATGGACTGGGGAGTACTCTTAGGGGAGAAGCTGTATAAACGTAGATCTCACCCGTCCAATGTTCTTGTTTCAAGGATCAAATTACCAACATTTTCTGCTTTCTAACAGTTTAAAAAATATTTTGTCCAGGATTTTTTAATAGTTAATTCTCTGCAGGAGTATTAATCCAATATAAGGTCTCCCATCATTAACATTATTGGTACGTGACAGAGATTCTAACTTTTGGTGTTTTGTGTGTGTTAAGAATATACTACACATTTCATCTTTCTGAATACTCATAGTATCATTGGATAATATCTCCTTAAGGGTTCTTTGGGTGTTACGCAGCTACTCTGTCCTATCAGGCAATGACTGCCTAAAACTTAACATGATGAATTTTCTGCTGATTTCATCTCCAGTGAGGAAAGATTCCTTTTTAGGATATTAGCTCGCTGTCTGGAGGCTCCAACTTTATATTTCAATTTAAATCCATATGATGGTTTTAAGTGACTCCCAGGGTCATGGAGTTGCACAAACAGAGGGATATACAGCCATTACTAAAGCCATGTCTCTCTCACCAGATCACGGGTGTGAAAATGATGTCTTTCCTAGTGCCCCGTGTGTGTGTTATCTGCAGTTTTCTTTGCTCTGCTTCATCCCTCAGCTCCCATGAGCTCATCATTTCTGGTCTGTTTTACTGAGATTCTCTCCCCTTATTCTATCTCCTGGCATCTGCACACCTGCAGCTGCCAACCTGACGTCGGAATCATTCTGATTACTGTGACCCTTAATGTTATGAGTTGAATTCCTCCCCTCCCCCAATTCATATGTGGAAGTCCTAACCTCTCAGAATGAGACTACTGGGAGACAGGGGCTTTACAGGGGGTAATCGGATTAAACAAGGCCTGTAGGGTGGGCCCTAATCCAAGATACCAGGCATTGTTATAAAAAGGGGAAATGGACACAAGAGGGAAGGTAAGAAGAAGAGACACAGGGAGGAGAGTCCACCTGCAGAACAAGTCAGCAGGCCTGGACACATCCTTCCCTCCCAGAGGAAACCAATCTTGGACGTCCAGCCTCCGGAACCAAGGGATTATACATTTGTGTTGCTTACGGCACCCAGTCTGTTGTACTTTGTGCCTTAGCAGCCCCAGCAAACTAACACACTAACCACATAACAAATAGTTGGACCCCAGTTTTTCTACTTGATTCTGACTCATGGCTTTACTTTGTCTCCTAAGATCCACTGACTCCTTAGTAGGGTTAATGGGCAAAAAAGCAAAATATCCAAAAATTTATAACCTTTTTTTTACTTAAGTTGAATGGCTTTTCTGATCCTTCTAGACCAGTGGTTCTCAACCTTGGCTGCACATTAGAATCACCTGGGAATCTTTTTAAAATCCTGATTTCTGGGCCTCATCCTCCGGAAATTCTGTTTCTTTGTTATGGAGTGGGGCCACAACATTAGTAACAAAGAAACAGAATTTCCGGAGGATGAGGCCCAGAAATCAGGATTTTAAAAAGATTCCCAGGTGATTCTAATGTGCAGCCAAGGTTGAGAACCACTGTTCTAGCCCAAGCATGTCAAACTTAAAGGCTAACATGGGCCAAATAAGCAAGGTTTAAGTTTATGTGGGCTGTAAAAAGACAAAAGCTTCAATTTTCATAGAAATGTAGGTTTATTTCAATAGAGACATGCTGAATACAAAGGGCTGAAATAAATGAGTAATCGTTAACATAAAATAATAGAACATTTTAATAAAAATTAATGTTTTTTTCTTGAACATTAACTTACCAGATACTGAATAACTTCACAAATTAATAATCGTAACACAAATAAACCTATTTTTTTGTTCTCTCAAAGTGAAATATTTCCTGTTGCGCACACCAAACAAGTTAGTCCAAGACTAATGACATGGCCATCAGCTGCTAAAATAATCTCTGCTAGGATTAGTGGAGAGAAATGGTGCGCCTTTGCATAAGGCACATAAAGGAAATGAATGCTATACGATTATAGTTATCAGTCATTAGCGAATGTTGTAATTCGTTATTAATAATTACATGTAACAGGATATTATAAACATTAAGTTACGGAATTTTATAACATGTTTCTTACATACCGTTATATTGGCTGGGGCCACAAAAGTACTCGTTGTGGGCCACATGCGGCCCACGGGCTGCGAGTTTGACATGCTTGTTCTAGACTAAGTAAGGATATTGTCCCTGCCTACCTAAATAAAGCCCAGACAAGGTACCGACAGGGAATGTAACATGCCGAGTCCTGGCTCTTCAATCATACACGCTGCCCCTCTGGCCTAATTCCGGGTGGCGAGCTCCTCCAGGGGCCCACGTTCAGAATCCTCCACTGTTACCAGAGATCCTTGCAACCTCAGCTTAGTTCTGCTATTCCTAGTTCAAGAGGCGGGTGAGGCCGATGGCTAAGCAACTGCTCTGCGTGAGGAGAGAGGAGTGTGGGGTGATGCTCCCAGCGTTCCCCGTTCTCAGATCACCAGCGATAACAGAATTTAACAGCACAACTCAGACAACACATTTCCCAAGGAACTGAGGTGTGGAAACCAACTCCCTTAGAGAAGAGAATTTTTTTAGGAATGCATAAGGGAAGAAGAACTTTCACGGTACATCAAACTGCATTAACAAAATTGGTGTCTACTGACTGAGATTTAAAATTTGTACAATTAAATGCAGGATGTTAGCAGTTTTCCAATATATTTTGTTTTTTAAGTGATATTTTTTAAATGAGAAATTTAAAAAGTTATTGTCTCTGCAATAATTACCACTTTTATAAAATTATTTATAAAAATACAACTTACTCCCAAATCGCTTACATTCTAGTTGTATAAATAAATTCGCATCCAGTCTCAAATGTTATTTAAAAGAACCAAATTTTTAAATGATTCTACCCTTTTCAGTTCTCTAGATTCAGTTCTCTAGAATGCCTCCAGATGGCATTAAAACCCTTTTCCCATTATATTTTGCAGCATAAAAATTTTAAAGCTAGTGATAATCAGAAATCATAGCAATGGAACTGTTTAGAACTTTTAGTGTAACATCTTCAGGAACACAACATATAATCACATCCTTTATGAAATATGTAGCCATCCTGTGTGTAAGGGAAGCCAAAGGATTTTTCTAGACTGAGAAACAGATCTTAGACAAACTAAGACACTCAATAATATTATATCACAAACTGTGATTTCTACTGAGTAGCATTTTAAATGCTTAGTAGTAAGAGTGCTGACCCACATAAAGATGAATTCACAAACCATAGAGGAATAAGGAAACCGTGTTCCCCCTCAGAGTTAAAGATTTTCAAAGAGCAAATGTGATTCCTAAAATAATTTGTTAGCTCCTGAATTATTTCATTTAAACTTTGGTGTATAAATTTGGTATCAAATGAATCATTAACACTTTTGGATTCCTTGAGCACCAAGAGGAAAAAAGCAACATGCAAAGTGAGGAAAGTGCTCTTTCTAAGGGCCTTTTCTTCTCTTTTAAAAAATGCTTTTGTTATTTCAAAAACATCAGCAAACTCGTGAGATTCCAGAGATATCTGCATTTTTCACACAGTTCCGAGGGGAGGGTGCAGATGGCTGCGTTTTGAATGACATCGGTCCCTCCCAGGTGTGCGGGACAATGCCTCCCGCACGTGAGCCAAGTTCTACATTATTTACAAGAGTGACGATGAAAGTCTCAAACACATTCTAAAAGAGTGTGCCACCAGTATGTGCCCTCCCATCTCATTACACCTGGACTTTCCGAAGAAGAGCACCTGTGTTTTCGATATTATTCTTTCTGTGTTAAAGCACAAGAAAGACCTCCAAATGCGTGTGCACTCAGAGCATTTAAAAAGACATTATCAGGAGAAGGAGAACTGGCCCTCCTCCCATTATTATTATTACTGCTACGCGGCACTTGCACTGTTTCGCATTACAGGCACATTAAAGAACCGCCATCACGAACAGAAAGAGGAAAGAGACTTACGATGTATTCGAGGTGCCATTGTCTGGACTCTCGGGCTCAGCATCACCTTTCTCTTAAAAAGGAAGCAGAGAAAAAAACACCCAACATGTGAGTATCACAGTCTTAAATATTTAAGAGAGATTAAATACATTTGAATGCTCCTATTTCCTATTAACAATTTTTCAAAATGTGCAGCAGGAGGCTTTTAAAACACCTTTTTATGTCTGAGAACCGGATTTGCAAAGTAATTTCTTCTCTGTGATACCACTGCCCAGCACGGATCTGTGAGCAGGTACTAAGGAGCTGTTTGTAAACAACCAGAGACTCAGACGGGAAACCTCGCCAGGAGATGAATATCTGACAGCTGGAACCTGTTTCCTTCCACTCCACTTTACAGAACATTTAAGGAAATAAACCCCATTCGCATTCCACATGCAAGGCGTGCTGAACTGCGATCCCTTTTGCTAACATAAGCCGAACCAGGTCTGGCTGCAACAGAGCTCAGAGGAGAGCATTTTACTGAGGTTGTATCCTAGGTTACGAGGTCCCCAAGAAATACCCCTACCAAGAGCTCTGGCTTAGGTGTTGCCCCCTCCCTCCCCAGTTAATGCAGAATAAGATGTAAACCAGAAATCCTTCCTATCTGACAGGTTAGGTAGAGAAATGTTTCACGGTGGTCATCAAGGATTTAATTAAGGGGGCCTGGAACCAGTTCACTTTTCTTAGTTTTAAAGGGCAAATTCCTCTTGCAAAGACACTGTAATTCTTAGATCCTCGGACAGTGGGGGTTTGAATTATGCGTCCTCGTGCTGTAAGGTGCTCCCTTTAGGGAGATGAAGGAGCAAGGGTCGTGACTGCCAGTGTGGGTCGCTGTGTGACGATGGCTGTGCCGTGCTAACAGTTTAATAAACCCCAGGCCAGGCTGTGGGCTGTGGGACATGGGCCTGATGGTGGCAGCTGCTTTGCTTTGCCATCTGAGTCTGGCCTGGAGGTCTCACAGCACTGGCCTAGAGGTCGCGGGGCCCAGGCCTACGCATGTGCAGGCCCCTTTTGTCAGCACGGTCTCCCTACACTGCATGATGATCACATTCTGAAGATATTTTCCAAACTGAACCCCAAAGCAAACTTGATCATTTCTTCTTTTTTCTTTTAGGAAATTAAAGTTGTGAGAGAAAGAAGACCGGTAGATGTGGTTCACACGTCTGCCTTAGATATAACAGAGGTAACTGGGCACGGGAACAGCCACAAAGGACAGCACTTCATCAGAAAGCCAACCATGGGCTTCACCGCCTGGGTGACAAACGCTGATTAACGGGCCCCGTGCATAGGAAACCATGCGGAAGCGCAAGTAGAGGCAGCAAACCAATGAAGTGGCTCTAGAGCTTGTACTGTGCGTCCGTCCTCCAGGCCACGCCTGTGGTGCCTCAGACACGAGAGGCCTCATCACGGGCTTGAGAGCTGGAAAACAACCTCCTCAGTCCTTTCCAGAGTCATTCTTCCACGCAGCGGCGGCTATTCCTGCCAGAACCCTACAGAGTTAGTGACACCCGCGCTATGTGAGAGAAAGCTACGCGGAGGTTCCAGTCACCAGATTGATCCCCTCCCTTTAATTTGGAGGAAGTTGTTGCTTTCCCCAGCCTCGCACTGCCCACAGCAGCCACACCGAATACATCACAACGGAGTGTGAAATACCCAGGCAGCAGCCGGAAACAGTCAACATTTCCAAACAACTTATGTCAAGAAAACGGGAAACCGGGACCGTCAATGAAGACACTGTTTGGATGTTTGAGTAAATGTTTTTCCCTGGCCAACAATTCTGCCAAAGAACCCGCAGGTGGAGAGGACACAGGCCTCTGCACATGGGGCCGGGGCTGGGAGTCGGGCTGGACCAGCGCAGGGACATAGCTGCCCCGAGCAGCACTTCTGCTGTGGCAACAGGGACAAGAGAGGAGGTTCTGGCCAGCAGCTAGGACACCCCGGGCCAAAGGAGACATTTAGGAACGGCCTGGGAGGGAGTGCGCGCAGCACCTTCTGGGGAAGAGTAGGTACAGGAGGGAGAAAGGGACCAAATTATTTTTGTCTTTCAAAAAGAATGAAATAAGATTCTCCCAACATCTTGCAATTGTAGTTGATGCAATATCTGAAGTTCCCTTGAAATGTTTAAGTGCCTACGTCATTAAGAGCCATCGTTTCTTTCTCATGACCCAAGGGAAAATTATGCATGAAAGCTAGATGTTTCCGTGCAGCTACCAAAGAGGACTGGGGTCATCCTGGCTATGTCAACTGTTCATGATGGATACCTCGCGGGTTCCTCTGGGAGGGAACCGGCATGGATCATTAAGGAAATGGACAGGAGAGGTTGGCCCGGGTGCAGGGCAGTCATTCTGCACATGGAAATACAATTACAGAGAGGAAGAGGGGGAAAATGAGCCACAGCAAGGACTCACACACACAGACACATGTACACACAAGTAAATCATGTAGGTACATATGTGTAGTATATGTGTACTTTCAACCTGACGCTTCGCAGGGTCTCCCTGTGCCTCGCACAGTCCTTGACACACTGCACGCTCAGCGTCTGTCTTTTGTCTGATGCCTGCCATGAGCACAGAACCCCACACTACAGGGGAGAGATGAATGTGCAGTTCCAATACTAAACAATCTGATGACTCCAATAAGTCACAAAAGAAAAAATACCGAATTTGTGCCCTTCAGACACTTAAGCGAGTGCACGGCTGGAGGCTCACACTCTCCATCACCCTGCCCGGAGAGGGACTCAGGATGACTGAACAGGGACAAATATAGGTTGTGCTAGGCTGGATTCTGCTGCACAGGTAAGGTTTGCTAAACTACAACTCTTCTTTATAATAAAAGTAATCCACGTGCATGGTAAAACCATCGACCAGCAGAGAAAAGCTGACACCTTTGCTTGCTTCTGGTTTTATTCTGTGAGCCCTTCAGCCATCACTCTGAGTAACACACGTATTTCTAGATGTGTCAACGTTAGAGGGCACCTAAAGATCTCTGATATGAAGGATGCGAGATAAGGTACTTAATATACTACCACCTCCCCTCTCCTTACAATTTTATTAGTCCTATCATTACTTTTACTGCCTCCAGTGAGTATTTATAACTTTCAATACATTTAATCATCCATTTCTTGATTAATCAACTTCTGACAGTATCTTTCCTCTTAAACTATGCACAATGAGGAAATTCCCCCACCCATTCTCGCCCGCCTTCCCTCCCTCCATCACCTACAACTGCACAGCTATCCCTTCCATCTTCATAGCTGAGATTTAAAATATTTATATTCTGTTCAGTGATTATTAGTGAGGCATCCTCGTTCATCTTAACTTAATTAATAACTTAACTTTTAGACTTTCCTATAGGCCAATTAGAAAAATTATAAACCAATAACAGAAGTTTAAATACTGCAACAATATAAATATTAGTCAGTGAAGAAGGGGGACTGGGCCTGAGTGAAGGCCAGCGCTCCCTGCACTGAGGCCCCAGGGAGTCTCATTCTTAATTCCATCATGCCACAGCTTAACTGGTCTCAAGTCTCCCCTTTTCCTTAGAAAATGTTCAACAGAACATGCGTTTAATGTCCATAAAATGCATACATACAATTTTTAAAAATTAAAATGAGTTAACTGTGAAGAAGACACTGCCAAGAAATAACCCCAGAGTCTCTAAGTTCCTGTCCCTCCCAGCGGAATTTCATGCTAATCATTCTCTTCCCTTCTCGATAGTTTTTACCACCCATGCGTTTATTAGTAAATCAAATATTCTTCAGTTTTCCTGATTTTGAAATTTACATGAATGGAATCATACTGTATGCCTTCCTCCGAGACTTCCTTCTGTCACTCATGACCATGATGTTTAGACCCAGCCACCATGGTGCACGGAGCTGTGGTTTGTTCACTGCTGTGCATCCTATAAAAAAACCTACCAGGGTTTTCTCATTCATTCTACTGGTGGACATTTAGGTTTTTCCATATGAATGACACAGTTACACATGTTCACGAACACCCTTCCTCATGCACGTCGGGAGTGTGGGCCACAGGGCTTTCACATGTCCAACCTTACCAGGGAATGCTGAACTGGTTCCAAGTTAACTTAGGGTCAAACATTAAAGAATGTTTTTTCTCATTTAATAATATAAAGTGAAATTTCAGTGTAGCGTTTGCATTTCTCTGAGTACCAATGTGGAAGAGATATTTTGTGCTTACTCTTCTGTGACATTCCTTCTCATTTCTCAAAAAAACAGCCTAAGTGCCCATCAGCAGATGAGTGGATTAAAAAACTGTGGTACATCTACACAATGGAATACTATGCCACTATAAAAAAGAAGGCACTTTTACCATTTGCAACAACATGGATGGAACTGGAGAGCATTGTGCTAAGTGAAATAAGTCAGTTGGAGTAAGATAAATATCACATGGTCTCACTCATATGTGGGATATAATGATCAACATAATTTGATGAACAAGAATAGATCGATCTAGAGACAAATGGTAGGGGAGGGGGGGTTAGAGAGCAACCAAAGGATTTGTATGCATGCATATTAGCATAACCAATGGACACAGACCCTGGGCGGTGGGGGCTTGCCCGGGGTGGGAATGGCTTGGGGGGGTGTCAATTGGGGAAAAAGGAGACATATGTAAAACTTTACACAATAAAAAAAATTATTAAAAAATTTTTTGGTAATTTTTTAGCTCATAGAAGCACTTCATTGTCTTGATACAAGTCTTCTGTCACTGTCTCTCTGTCTCTCTCTCACACACACACTCTAGTAACTTTTCCCAGTGTGAGTCTTTTACTCTTTTTCTGGTATCTGTGCATGATTATAAGTTCTCAATTTTAATTTACTTGAGTATATCAATATTTTCCTATATTTTATACTTCTGTTGTGTTTGTATTTAAGAAATACACCAAAATATGTTCTATATTGTCTTTGGAAAGTGTATAACTAAACTGTTCACATTCAGATCTACAAATACCAGGAGAAGTTTTTTATATGACATAAGTTAATTTCATTTTTCTCGTAGATAACCAATTATTCTGGTACTATCTATTAAGAAGCTCATTCTTTCTCCATTGATCTACATTATCAGCTCTGTCATGAATCTAATTTTTATATATTAGTGGGCCTGTTTCTAGGTCTCATATTATCTTTCATTGCTCAATTTGTCTATTACTGTCTGTATTACTTAGCTAAAAACATTTATATATTTTTAATATGGGCAAGGCAAGGCTCCAACCTTGTTGTTCTTTAGGAGTGTCTGAGCTATTTTTGGGCCTTTGTTCTATCAAAGAAATTTGAGAATCACCTTGTCAATTTCCAGATACACAAAAGTGAAGTTATAATTGCACTGTTTCCTATAGCTGTTGAGAAAGAAGTCAACTGGAAGTTTAATTGTTGCTTCTTTGAAGGTATTAAAGGGCAGTTTAAGAATTGTTCCCTTATCTATGTGGTTTGCAGATGAACTATAACGTGTCTAGTGTGGCCTCTTATTTTTACTGCTTAATATGCATTGGGTTTCTAGAATTCGTGGATTAGTGTATTCCATTCTAAATTTTTTTCAGCCATTATCTTCTTTAATATTTCCTCTGTTCCCTCATCTCTTTCTGAAATCCTACTTAAATATATGCTAGACTTTCTTACTTTATCCCTGTTTCTAAATATACTTTTATTTATTTATTTATTTTTTATTTTTAGAGAGAGAGGAAGGGAGACGGAGAGAGAGAGGAACATCCATCGGTATGCATCCCAACCAGGGATCAAACCCACAAACTGGGCACGTGCCCTTACCAGGAATCGAGCCAGTGACCTTTCAGTGTGGTGCATGGGATAACACTCAACCAACTGAGTCACACCAGCCCGGGAATATCCCATACGTTTCTTAATTTCCATTTCATATTTTCCATTTTCTCTAGGCTGCATTCTAGATAATTACTTAAATTCAATTTCCCAATGTTTTTAGCTGTATCTAATCTGCTGTTCAACCTGAATGAGGAAATTTTCATTTGTTATTATTTTTTTCATTTCTAGAGGTCTGATTAGTACTTCTTCAAATCTTCTTGCTCTTAACCACATTCTCAAACATCTCATTCTGGAAATTGAAGCAAGCACTCTTATTTTATATTCGGGCTGGGTAATCCTGATGTCTGAAGTCCTTACGGGTCTAATTCTCTGCGTCTGCTGTTCTCCTTACTCTTGTTCATGGTCTCTTGCTTCACTGTATATAGTGTTTGTGATATGGAGTAACTCATTTCCCTTGGAATTATGGTTCTATTATTACTTATTCTTCTCCATTTTGTTTTCTTTTTCTGGTATTCCTATTAGCTGGATTTTGACCTTTCCACCCCAATTAATCTTCCATGTATCTTAACTTCCTTTCAAATTTTCCATCTGTCTTTTGCTTTATGTTCAGAAAAAAATGTTTTCAACTTTATATTACAAATTATAGACTCCACTATTACCAATCATTTCTATTAATTTTTGTGAACGATATTTTTAATTCTCAAGTACTCATTTGTTCTGTAACTGCTTCTTTTTCATACCAGTCTGTTCTCTCCTTTTATTTAATAATTTCAAATGTTTCTGAAGGCTGTAACTATACATTTTTTCTTCTGTTTCTTGAATTAAGTGTATTTCCACTGGCATCAGTCCTCTTTGGTACTTATTGGTGACACATTCATGTTTTGAGTGATAGCAGGCTGGTTAACAAAGGTAACTGATGTGGATTTCCTGTAGCGTACATTGATCCATTTCCATAACACACATCTCCCTGGTAGGAAATGCTGCTCTGAGCTCTTTGTAAGTGGGAGGGTATGTTAACTGCAGACTTTATCCAGGCTTGGGAGGAGAGAGACCTCAGGACAAGCTGGGAGCCCTGATCCTCTCATCACGCTCCACACCAAGGGAGAAGTCCTTTACTCCGGGTGTGCAGCATTTTTGTTTATTTCCATCTTGAAAAAAGTTAACTCTTCTTCCCCCACTCACATACGTCTTTTTTTAAAGTCTGGTATTACCTCAGAATCTATACCGCTTCTCTTAGGTATCAACTAGGGCATCTGGTCACCTGTTCTTTTCTTAGCAAACGTTACTGTGTTATTTGGTATTTTGTTGTTTTGTTTTGTTGGTTTGTTTTGGGGGGGAATCCAGATGGAAAGTTCTGTATGAGAACCAGCTAGGATGGGGGTGGAGGGGCTAGAGATGGGAGAACGGCCCAGGTCCCTACCACTCTCTGAGCGCCAGGCCCGTTCCCTGTGAGACTGAGCAGAAATCTGGGGTCTGTCTTGGAGTCCCAAGGACAGTCCCACCACCACTAGAGCTGGTTCCTGTTTGTTTCATTATGACCGTCCTTGCCCAGGATTACTTAATGGGAGGGTCCTGTCTACTCTCTGTTTTCCAGAAACTCACCTGAATTTCTGGTTTGTTGATGCACCCCTTTCTGTCCTCAGCGCTATTACAGATGTATGTCCATGGCGACAAAGTTCTGGTTATTTAAACAGAGATTCTGGAGGGAGGGGGAGCGCTCATGCTCAGTCTGCCCCTTGAACAGGGCACCTCCAGACTTTAATAAAATGCAGACATAGGTCACCTCTATTAATATTTAAGTTTCTCAATGTTTAATAAGCTTTTATTTTCTAAAATTAAATTAACCAATAATTTAGCAAACTGACTAAAGTATCCTTTAAAAATAATTTTCTGTTCAATTAACATACTCTTTTCTCTTAGTATCTATATCATACAACATCTCCAACTTCAAAAAGAAAAAGCAGCCCTGACCTGAAGTGGTGACGGTTAGCTCATCAATCCACACACACACACACATTTCGTGTTTGGTTTCTCTAAAGCTCAGGGTGTTTTTTATTCTCTACATATTTACGAAAGTCACGATTCCCAAAACTGTAAGGATTCCAAACCAAATACAAGAAGCAGCAGAGGCGTGCTGGTGAGAGCAGCTCTCCTAAAGCTTTAATGGGCTATAATCCAGGTGAATGCTCAGATTTGTAAACAGTGACATTATCTGTATATAGGTGTGCTTGGCTTTAGGAGACGATTTATTTTAAAAACACAAAAAATAACCTCCTTACCCCCAGAAAAGGAAAAGCCAATCAGAGATTTCCCTGGGCGATGGAATGCCAGAGGGTTTCATACCACATGTGGCAGGTGCCACCTCACATTCCACAGACGAGGGTCTGCTTTTTCATAAGCCAAACGCAGGTTTAGCTGGTCATTGTCAGGGCATGCTATAACAACATGCCGGATGCACACAAAACCCACAGTACACAGTTATGGACAAGAATTCAACTCCACACTGAACCATCAGAAGCAACCTTTTTGGGGTCAAGGTAAGGGGATGGGAAGTCTGTTGTCTTCGAGGCAGATATCCCTGTATTCAAACCCTCGTCATTTTTTTTCACTAAAAACAAGGTTGGTTATTAACCTCAGAATCTCATTTCATCATGTGCAAAATGGGGACCATCAGGCCTACTTCATCCAGGCACTGTTAGGATTAAGTGAAGTAGCCTGAGTCCAGGTGCGGGCACATGGAAGAGACTCAATACTTTCTTCCTTTGTTCTTTATGTCAAAAACTCCAAGCTGAGAGAAGGTACTTTTATTCACCTATTGTCTCCTCCCTCTGCCCTGAACTGTTTAAATTCAAATGGAAAGACACGCTGAGGAAAGTAACAGCACTTTTTCTGTATACTCTGGTCTTTGGCACATGGTGCTGATGCCTGCTCACGTTATGGACTTATCCATGCATTTCTCCCGATTCCTTTTCTTACTACTGAATTTATGATGTTCTTTAGGGTTCAAATCCCTTGGCATTTCTCCTCTTTGCTGGTATGTGCTCACAGCAAATTCCAGCCGCGGGTGAGATGATTGAGTGATATTGCCTATGCATCATTATGCCACCATCGCCCTACCCTGACCTTTCTCCTGCTGTGCATGGGAAGTCTGGGCCTCCTAACACATCTCTCTGCCTGTCTTTTCTCCCCAGCCCTTCTGCCCTCACAGATGCTCAGTGAGTGAGCCTCAGTTCCAAAGACACATCTGCTTGCTCAGAGTGATTTTCATGTTCAAACACGGCTTTGTAATTGGCAAGGGGTACTCTCAGCTGACTGGCTGGTCATCGGTGGAACAAAGCCCAGTCTTTGTGGACGTTGTTCATGACACGAATGAGATGGCGTGTGCATTTTTAATGCTCAAGAAAACATTAACAACAATTAGTAGTGCCAGAGAAGAGAATGAAAACACCACTTCATGGGATGATAACATCCTCTCTTTGACAACGAAGCCGTGACATTGGATTCAATAAGGAATTCCTTCCTAGACACTTCAGTCTGTCTGTCTCTGAGAGAGGGCATGGTTTCCGCATGGATTCTAAGGCCGTTAATCTTGAGGTCTTCTGATTGGTTCTCTTTGCCCATTCTTTTTCTGTCAATTTAGATAACTAATTAATGTTTTTAAAAAATGTTTCCCCTCCACATAGACCGGAAACCAGCTATAACAGAGAATAATGTTCCTTCAACCTCGATTGTTTTGATAACCACCATTTATGTTTGGCCTCCTCCCCTTGAAAAAAGACAGGGGCACTCAAGCTCACATGAACCTCATGCATTTGGAACATACTTGAACAAATGGCCGTCTTTTTCCCCGTTTGATTTTGTTTATAGTGAAATTCATTCACAACTACTGTTTATTGCATACATCTCCCCTACTCACCCCCTCAACAGCCCCTCCTCCACCACCACCACCACATACACACTCATAAAGCTGTAGAGAGAAGCCTTTCTTACTTGGATTATTGTGTCCAGAGGAAACCAGCTGAGAGTCCTAAAAGAACAAGAAATATCAATTAACTTTCTCATTTTGACTTTTAAAATCTAAGTTGAATGTGAGATATATTCCTGGTCAATTTCTACCAGCTACTGTAATGAAAAACATTTGCATAAATGTGCTCGTTAAAAAGTTCTGGTACAATAGTTCACAATCACTTCTCTTTTGTATTGTAGACTTTTTGTTTTGTTTATTGAGTGAAGTTCACATAACACAAAATTAGCCCTTTAAAGTGAACAATTCAGTGGCATTTATTACATTCACAATGTTGTACAGCCACCAACTCTCTTTAGTTGCAAAATATTTCCATCGTTTCAAAATAAAACTCCACAGCATTAAGCAGTGTCCCCCCCAATAGCCCCCCTCCTCAGCCCCTGGCAACCCCCAATCGCCCCTCTCCTCAGCCCCTGGCAACCCCCAGTCAGCATCCCGGCTCCATGACTTTATCTGTTCTGGATATTTCGTAGCCCTGGAATCATGTATCATGTGACCTTTTGTGCCTGGCTTCTTTCACGTTGCCTGTTGTGGAGATTCATCCACATGGTAGCTTGTATCAGTAATTCATTCCTTTCTGTGGCTGAATCATGTGCCATTGTGTATATACACAACAGTTTTTATTAACAGGCCCATTCATCTGTTAATGCACATTTGGGCTGTTTCCACCTTCTGGCTATTGTGAGTAGTGCTGCCATAAACACACATGCATGTGTACTTGTTTGGGTCCCTGCTTTCAATCCTTTTGGGGATACACCTAAGAGGAGAGCTGCAGGTTCATGTGGCGATTCTATGTTAAGCGGCACTGCCAAACTCTTTCCACAGTGGCTGAGTCATTTTGCATTCCTACTAGCAATGTCTGAAGGTTCCAATTTCTCCACATCCTCATCAACACTTGTTATTTTCTGTTTTTAATTTTTATAAAACTTATGATAGCCATCCTAGGGGATGTGCAATGGTTTCTCATGTGGTTCGGATTTGTATTTCCCTAATGACTAATGATGTTGAGTTTCTTTTCTCTTTTCAACTATGACTCGTTTTTAAAAACAACAACAACAAAGCAGCTTTATTGAGGCATAAACAATATAACACAAGCTGCACATATTTAAAGTACACAATTTAATGATAAATAGCATTAAAGGGCTGCTACTATTATCATCTTCTTGACTCAAGGACTGTTCCATTTTATTAAGCAGCACTTAGTATTTAAACAAAGAAGAGTAATACCTACTCATTAAAGAAAATTTAGAGGAAAGTATACAAAGGTTGTCTATAATCCCGAATCGGGTCATTTCGGAGGTTAAGCTGCTGCTTTTGGTTCGCCAGTGCCCTTCAAGTGTGTCACCTGGCAGTCACATGCACAAAGGTGACACCCACTTCTGGCTTCTAAGAAGAATACTTCCCGATGGGAATTTCTCCTTCTCCATCTTTAAATCCTGAATTCCCAAAACCTGAACGCTTGTCTGGTACGTGGGAATCCCACAGCTTCTTTATATGAGCTCTATTTAGCTGAGAAGTCAAGTTGGTACAAATCCTTTTGCTGAGGACAGAAATCACCAAGCTCCCCAGTGTCTGAGGAAGTCATTCCACGGAGCGCCATAGCAACCACTATGTCCCACCAAGTGTGAGGTGCCATCAGAAGTGCAGGAGGCCGCGCCATCTCAGGGACCGTCAGCAAAGAAAACGGCTGCCAATTAACTGTAAGATGCCACCAGCTGTAAAACACACCCTGATTGGTAGGGAACTTACAATGTGAAAAACCACGCACCGTACATCAATAAGTCCAGTCATCCTTAAGCCATGTTGCTGATGGAGGACAATACTCCTACTGTGCGAGCGAGCATTACTTCAAAACTGTGTTTTGGAAACACCTGACCACTGGGCCACTCAGACCTCTCCTTGTCTGTCTACGAGCCCATTGTTAGAACTACAAAAGGCAAGAAATGCAAAACTATCTTCTCTTATTCTCTGATGCCCTCCCCCCATACACAGTGAGCTAATTCCTAGAGGAAAAAGAACCATCTGACTTGGTTTCATCGCCTTCCACCCCCACTAATCACTTTCTTCTGAATCCTATTCTATAAAGCCTCAAATAGTTAAAATAATGTAATTTACAATGAATTTCAATGTTTGATTTGAGGTAATGCTAACCATGGAGTTTTTAGTCCATTTTGTGGCAGTTTTTGAGGCATCCTAGCAACCCCTTGGAGGGAGGGAACCTGCCACTTTCCTCACCCCGGCTTCCGTTCTCCTTCTGGGCACCCAGAGGAGGCCAGCGCACGGGCATTTCTGTCAGGACGCTGGCGTTCCGCCGCACAATGCTTCACAAATCTGCCAGCCAGGACAGTTTCAGGCCAGGGCTGATCCCTGGACTCAGCACCCATTGCTCTGTGACATGTCTGTGAAATGCCATTAGGTGTGCCCGTATGCCTTCTGAGGATGGGGAAATTGTATAATTTTCAGTTCTTTATTTGCATTTCATAACTTTTGAGACTGCTACAGAAATGAAGGGAAAAGGGCAAAGCAAATTCTCCCCCCTCCCCAACCTTTGTTGAAATAGCCGATAATGGCAGCCAATTTAAAGAAGTCACGTATTCTTTTCTTTACCCAATTCAATTACTCCTGAGATTTGAAGAATGAGGCAGACATGCCTGGTAGCATTTGTCCAGGAAACAGTGACTCCAGACGAAGCGTTCAGAGAATAGAAGAAATACCCACATTTGGTCACAACTGACCTTACTATACGTTATGTCCTTCCACACCCGCACAAATCGGGGAAATTCTCGGAAGTATTTAGCTAATTAATTCAGTGGCGCTGCCAACTCAGATGCACAGTTAAATCAACTTTCCTGGTGAGGTCAAGTCGCCCCTTTAATCTTAACAAGATTAGGCTTAATTCAATTATTTGTTACTCATTTAGGAGATTTTGCCCCTCAAATTCTATGAACAATTCTAGCTCCTTCATGCTGGCAATACAGTGATAATCTCAAATGTTAATAATCTATCTAATTAAGGAAATGCAAGCCTCCAGCTGACAGAACACTAATTAGTTGAGATTCAGGTTGGAAGAGGTACAGTATATGTCAAAATTAGTGACAGTCTTGCAGTAGGCAGAACAAGGGCCCCCCAAAGATGTCTGTATCCTCATTCCCCGACCCTGTGAACATGTTACTTCTCATGGCAAAAGGGGCTTTGCAGCCAGGATTAATGATGAGTGTGGGGTGGGAGATTATTCTGGGTTACCCAAGTAGGCCCAATCTGATATTCCCGTGTCCTGGCAGCCCCACTGTTGTTACCGCTCTGTCATCTGCTGTTCCGTGCCCATTGGCTCTGCCCTGGCCCCGCTGGCCCTGCGGTGCCTCCCAGACCCAGGTATGCTCCTGCCTTTCCCCTTCTCTTCCATTTCCGTGGACCTCTCTGCCCCTCGTCTGTACGACCTGCTCCCTCACCTGCTTCAGGGAGTTGCTCAAATGCCGCCTCCTCAGAAAGGTCTTTCTTAAGCTCTCTATTGAAAAGTCATCCACTTCTAGTCACCATCAGCATTCACCTCCCCCTTGCTATGCATTCTATTGTCCCCTACTAGAAAAACATAAGCTCACCAAAAATCTACCAGAGCCGGAAGGAATTCAGTAAGTAGATATGTAAAATCCAGTAAATTTCCTTCACACCACTGAGGACTAATTAAAACATGAAAACTTTAAAAAAAGTTCATTTAAATACAAAATACCGTTAAATATCTGAGAATAAACCACAGAACCAATGTGAAAGACCTACAAGAACAAAATGTTTACCAAAGAACATGCAAGAAGATATGAAAAGAAGTGAAGAGATATTCCAAATTCTTGGACAGGAAGATAATATTGTCAAATGGATATACTTTCTTAAATTAAGTTAGAAACCAAACAAAATTCCAAGAGGATTTTTTTAAGGAACAACAGGTCATCAAGATGATTCTTAAATTGATCTGGAAGAGAAAAATGTACAATAGGCAGGACTTTTGGATAACAAAAAAAGGATACTGGCCTGACCACATGTATGTATAAATAGGCCAAAAATCATTAATAATTTAAACTAGGAGTCAGCCAAATATAGCCCACAGGCCAAGTATAGCCCAGCCTTTGATTTGTTTTATCTTAAACAATTGAATGCTTTTTAGCGTATTCAGAGTTTATGACCATAATACATTTTAGAATATTATCATCAATTAAAAAAATATCCTTTACCCTTTAGCCAACATTCAACCCTACCTCCCCACCTCTGAGCTTCAAGAAACCACTAACCTAATTCTCTGTCTTGCTATATTTGCCTGCTCTGGACATTTCAAATATATGAAATCATATAACATAGTATGTGGTTGTTTGTGACTTTCACTTAGCATAACATGTTTAAGGTTCGTCCACATTGTATTAGGCATCGCCATTTCATTCCTTTTTATGCCCGAAAAGCATTCCATATGTTACTTGTGTGTATCTATTTATCAACAACATTTGTGTTGTTTCCACTTATTGGCTACTATGATTAATGCTGCTATAATGTGCATGTCTAAGTTTTGTATGGATATGTGTTTTCATTCTTTGGGTGTATATCTAGGAGTGGAATTGCTGGTTCACAGGATAATGCAGTGCTGGAGTAACTGCCTAAATGTTTTCCAAAGAGGCTGTAACATTTATGATCCCACCAGCAACGGAGAGCAGGTTTCCAATTTTTCTACACCCTTGCTCACACTGGTTACTGTCTGCTTTGCTTTTAGCTATTTAAATAGGTATAATTCATTTTCTCACTGTGATTTTGATTAATAATAGTGATAGTATCTTTTCATATACTTATTAGCCATTTGTAGATCTTCTCTGGAGAAATGTCTATGTAAATCCTTTGCCCATTCTTAAAATGAGCTACCCTTTTATTGTTGAATTATGAGTTCTTTATACTAGTATATTACTAGAGGCCCAATGCATGAAATTTGTGCAAGAGTAGGCCTTCCTTCCCCCAGCTGCTGGCACCAGCTTCCTTCTGGCACTCGGGACCCGGGCTTCCCTCTGGCCGTTGGCAGGCAACCAGGACTCAGGCTTCCCTCCCAGCCCCATCTTCGTCTGGAAGGTCTTCTGGAAAGATGTCCGGTCTAATTAGCATATTACGCTTTTATTATTATAGATGCTATCACCTGTTTCTATAAATAAAATTTTATTTGAACATAGCTACAGTCATTCATTTATATATTGTCTGCAAAGCCTAAACTATTTATGTCCTGAGCCTTAACAGAAAAAGCTTGTCAGCATTTGATTTAAACAATGAGTGATTGGGAAAGAAGTAAATACACTGAAAAAACAGAATAGATACTCCTGAAACAAATCTATGTATTTATGAGAAATTAAATTGCTGATAAACACGGTATTTCAAAATAGTGTGTGTGTGGGGGGGAAATATGAGCTAATTTTATTAATAGTGTTATAATAATTTACTAGCCATTTAAAGAATACAACTAGAATGCTATGTTAAACCAGTCACAACGTTTTTTTAAACCTAAAACCAAAACTATAAAAGACTTAGAATAAAATAGAGAACATTGTTAGAATATTGGTGCAGGGAAGATTTTTTTAAAATCTCTGACAAAAATTAAACACTTTGCTTGTATAAAAGGTACATAAATCAAGTTACAAGAAACTAGTTATATCATATATAATAGACACATGAATAAGCAATAAGGAGGTCCTAACAAATCATTTTTAAAATGCGGTATGAATGGGCAATGACTATGAATGGGTAAGTTGCAAAGGAAAAATAGCCCATTGTTAAACTCAGGAGAAATTGGAGAAATGCAAATGAAAACAATGAGACAGCAAATTTTCACCCAGAAACAAGGATAAAAAGTCGGATAATATTAAACGCTGGCAAAGATGCACAACAAAGTGCTCTGGAAATGCAGTCGAGAGGAATTACGGCTTCGGATGCCTCCAGCACCACGTTCCTGCTCCGGCATCAGTACTGGGACATTCAAAGAGGCACCTGCCACACACTGTTTGTTCAAACAGCGTTTGTGATAATAACCAACCATAAACAGCCTGAATGTCCATCAAAAGGAGTTTGAGTCAATAAATTACGGCAAATTCATCTAGGAAATATTTTGCTGCTGTTAAGAAGAATTAAGAAAATATAGATTCACTTGGAAAGCTCTCCAAATACATTTTGTTAAGAAAAGGAAAAAACTCTTAGAATGGAATTTATCATTGTGATGATTATAATAAATACTTATTTCAATAATTCACTAGAGAAAGTTGATATGACTACTTAGCAAGGATATTTATGTATTGTGGGTATCTGGAAAAATTTCAACCCTTAGAAAAAATGCTTTTAGCACAATACCATTTATGATTTTTAAAAACTGCATATGCACATATATGTATATGGAATGCACAGAGAGGATGACTGGAATGTTACACATCAAACTCTTGTTGAATGTAGTCCCTGGGTAGGGAAATAAAATCTGGATGAGGGTACTGGAAACTTTCATATTTCGCTCCTTCTATTTGCATAATTTCACCTTTGTAATGAGTATGAAGTTATATGTTGTATTCAAACAAAACATATTAGACTCATGTATAACTTAAATATATTTTGTGGTTATTCTTTTTGTGTACTTTTGTTTCTTTAGAAAATATGGAAATCTTTTCTTTTAAATTCCTAGATAATATTTTATGCTTTATAAAAGATATCTAAGAGGAATTAAATACTACCTGCCCTCAATTCTAAGACATTGATTTTAAGATTCATTATTAATTTAGGAAAAAATAAGCAATCACACTGAATGTATAACATTATTGTAAGAAGCAACTTCACAAATGTTCTCCATAAAATGACACATAATATGCATCACATTTTGCATTAAGTATGGAAGTGTAGGTGTAAAACTGCAATCTTCATTTTCCCCTTTGATGAATAAATATGTGTTTGAAAAATGTTGAAAATCAGATCCATATGCCTCTGGCAGGAATATTTTCAAAGGAAAAGACAATAAAGGGAAGTCCCACTGTCCCTGGGAAATTCTGCGTGGAGACAGCAGGCTGCTCCTGAGTGACACACGACCTCACCTTATTTGGGAATGAAAATTTGCTGGGTTCCACCTTGCCAGGTGGCTGAATAGCAGAAAGTGGTGGAAGCCAGGTCATCTCCTAAAGGGAAGAAAACCAAACAACATTAATACAGAGCGCATTTCAAGTCGGCAGCATCTGAAGCAGCCATACAGCCTGCCTCGCTAAAGCACGGAGGGGTAAGAAATGAACAAGAGATGAAAGGGAATGAGAAGGATTTAAAAGAACAACACAGTGAAACCCACTTCTATGATTTCTCCCCATAATTTTACCAAGTTCTTGGTTCCGTGGCTAGCCTCATGTCCCCTTTATACTTTAAGTAGAGCTACAAGGTTGTCCTATTTTCACTTCAATGAAGCTCCCGAGTAAAGGAACAACACGGTGGTAAAAGTTCTACGGAAAATGCCACACACGGGGCTGTTTCTCTGGGACCTGATCCCACACAATTCTCAGGGTGTTTCTGCAGGACTGCATACCGCACTTTCAACTTTAGGAATCAGCATTGCAGGAATTGTTTATTTTATTAAAACTCACATCAGTATGAGTTTCCAGTAAGCACCCCCCCATCATTTTCCTCTTCATAAAAATGTCATTCATGGAGAAGTGAAGACACAATCACACACATGAAACCAAGAGAGAGCGTGTGGTGATGTTTATAACAGTATTAAGAAGACAGCTTTGGTTCACCATGCAGTGGTCTGCCACATGCTTCCTGACATGCACTTTCACGAAGCTGAGAGGGGCAGGGTCCCCTGGTCACCTCCAGCATTCCTCGCCAGCCCATCTCCTGGAAGATATCTGCGTTCACTAAGTGACTGTAGATTAAACTGAATCAATTTCTGATGACTAGGAAACTGACTTAGAGTTGACAGAGACTCTGAACCCGACTGCTTGATTTACATCCACTTCCAAACCCAAGCAAACATAGGAGCAGGTGGTCCAGTTTAAGAGATGTGAGCAATTCTCTTTAGGCGAAGACGTGTTCTCAGTTCCCTTGGTTGGGGGTGGTTCTGTCAGGTGTTTGGAGTGAGAGTTTCTTGAGGACGGTCTTGTGCCTTCTTTCCCTGGGTAAGTCTCCTCCCTCAGCGCGTCAGGTGGTGGAGACCCACCCAGGGAGCAGGAGAGGGAGTGCATTCACACCTCCTTGGGAGGATCACTGACCCTCCGTCATCTCCCGCCCACGCGACACATGTACCATAGGTGGGTTAGGCTCCTATGAGGTGTCCCTTCTCCATTTGCTGGTACCAAGGTTTCGTCAACCGAAAGCACGGGAAGACGCAATGACCCTTTCTTGCCTCTCACCTCTCACACCCTACTCTGTGTCTCTATCCCTGTTGTCTCTTGTGAAGACTGTGTCCAGGAACAGAGTGGGTCCTCAGTCCATTTTTCAATGAATAGAAAATTACACAGAATCTCTGCAATGTATCTGCCTTTCTTTCTGGTTACCCGAACTACCATCCTAATCGCACCTTTGTTATTTTTAACCTGAATGACTTTAGGAGCTTCCAGATTGGTTCTCTTTCTCCACTCATGATGAAGCCATCCTCCACACTTCTGCCAATTTTCCATCTATTTTTCCTGAAGTGCAGATGGCAACGGAAAGCACCACTTCCACAAGACATTCACCTACCACCACATGTACAACGATGACGACTACGAGGGCCTCGCCGCCGCCTGCGGTGCTTACAGTCTCAGAACACCTCCACACGAGCCTCCCGTTCACACCCAACCTTTAGTAATCATTATTACACCCACACTGGAGGTGAGGAAGGGAAGGCGCAAAAAGATTAAGTGATTTGCCCAAGTTCACTCAGTTCACGAACGCCACCGCTGAAGTGTTCACGCACGTCTCCTTCCTCCCAGTCCAGTGTTTGCTTCTCACTCTCCCGCATCTGCCCCAAGGACAATGGTATTCAAGACCTTCTGCGATAAGGTCGCAGGTGTCAGCCTGGTGCCTTTTATTAATCTACACGCACGACAGATAAGAAAACGACAGTCTCTGCTATGACTTACACTTCCCCCTGTGTGTGTGACTGCCCTACCCCATATGCCTTTTGGATTTCTATCCATCCTTTAGGGCTCCTCTGAAACATCATTTATGTCATGGGCCTCAGGTGATTCCCCTTCTAACCCAATGTGATATGACAGTGCCCTTCTCATGCTCCTCCAAAGCACTACTTCTCCCTCTGGTTGTAACTCTTAGGTACCTTTCCTGTGTTTAGTTTTATAAGCATACACCTCTATCTGCGCGCAACCATTCTGCTTTCTTCTAATACCCTTCCCCCAATGCAGAATAAAACAATTCTCGGGAATCCTAATAACCTCTCTCAAGAGTATTCAGTTTTACTAAACACAACCCCCAAGAAGGAATCCTAATAATTTCTTTCTAATAATTTCTTTCAAGGATATTCATGTTTATTAAACATAACCTTTAAATACTTAGTTATTAAATACTATGTCGTTTCCACCTAATTAGAGCATGAGAAGGGAACCAGCATATCATATATGAAGGAATAATAAAGACAATTGTGTTGCTTGAAACACTTACATCTATTAGAATTCCCAAAAATACACACTTATTTATATGAACTAATTAAATATTTGTTTTTAATGAATATGCAATGACTTTTTAAGACTGATTATCCACTATATTAAAATTCTCCATTAGGGTTGCATGGAAAAAATTAAGGGCAAATAGACTATTTCTATTTCCTCTTCTGTCACTTACTAGCTCACTGAGTTTGAGTAAGTCACATTGTCAGTAACTTGTAGTGATTTCAAAGCATAGACTTTCGAATCAGTCTGATCTCAATTTGTGGTATCTTAGAGCCAGAGAAAATAGAGTTGTTAACTAGCTCATGGTTTAATCATGAGCATTAAATGAGATAATACATATAAAGAGCATAGCATGGTTCTCTTATGTTTAATCATTCAATAAAAGACAGCACTGATTAATATCAAGCTTAGCTTCAGAATTCTTGTCTCAAAAATAAGAAATCAAATTTCTCTCTGGGCTTTAGATGTTGAGAATCTGGGGATAGAAGACTATATGGAAAAGTGTTTTTACCGAAGAATGAGGATATTATGCAAATGTAGTCTATAATTAAGCTAGCAATTGTTAATTCAAACTACATATTGCTAAAACATAAAGTTATTTAAAGAGTTTATTATGATTCTTAAGTATGATATGTATTTTCCATTGGAGAAAATGTCCCTAAGTTTTCTCAAGGGAATGGAATTCTGACGTAATAGTAGTCAGTGAGATAGGATTTGAGGAGAAGGTGTTTAGTTTGTATCATTTTCTGGTAGTGACTTAATCTGTAAGCAAAGGGGAAATTTCATAACTGCTGAAACTCCCCTTAGTTTGCCTCACTACACAGGGTAAGAATGCTATTTCATTGCAAGGCCACCAATCCCATGTGCCGTTCCACACCCCGCCATGCTCTGGACCTCCCAGCCTCAACCATCCCTTCCTTACTGCTTCACTCCTACTTCCTCCACTTAGGTGCCCTTCCGTCACATCCTGGACCACAGGTAAGACAGGACGAGAACTAGGATGTTTAAAGCCAAGTATGCCAAAGTCCTTCTGATCTCACAAACTCCTCTATTACTGCCTGTCTCCCTTCCTTTTTATTTTCTTGTCCCGTAGGAATGAGGCCACCCCCATTCCCGACACGGAGAGGTCCTCGGTTTGGAGCCAATGGATGAGATTCAGAACCAACATATCCGTGTTCACACAGCTCCCGGTCCCAGCCCTCAGCAGATGTCTTGTTAACCCAAGGGACAGAT